TAAACTTGTTTTATGTTAATTTGTCTTTTCAAGACCTAATATTAAAATGAAATAAGTTCAGTGGTTACAAAGAAGTACCAAGGGCTAAATATAAGGAGAAAATGGTCTTTGATATTAATTGACCAGTACAGAAAATAACCAGGTTTGGATGAAGTATCCTTTTCTATATTTTGTTTTTATATGTTCATGTTAATTCCTGAAGTACTTAAGTTGGAAATAAGAGGAGTGAAACTGGGCACTCATGAGTATTCTCTAAGGAGCTCCCTGATACATCTAAATTGTTGAGCACAGTTTTGTCTCTCTTTTTATGCAATGTCCCAGGCTAACATAAATCAAACAGTTGTGACTTATCAAAGACCTGGCTTTACGTCCAGTCCTATCACTCAAATGCACACTCTTAGAAAATTCAGCCTTGCTGAGCTTTAGTTTCCTAGTGAGAAAGAAATAAGAGCTTGTTTCACTATGCTTTTAAAAGAATTATATGAGATAAAACTCATGAATGTGCTTTATGGAGTATGTATGATCTTTTTTTTTTTTTTGGTGCTGGGGATGAAACCCTGGGCCTTGAGCATGCTCAGTAAGCAATTTACCACTGACTATACCCTCAACCTAACTTAATGACTAATGGCTTAATTTTAAAGCATTTGTCTATGTCATGTTAATATTTATTAAAACTATAAAGTTTTAAATATATTTGAGTTAGAATAAAAATGAACCAAAAAATTAGCCCCCTGCCTCCAGTAGAGAAGTTCTTGACTTGTGTTTTTTTTTTTTTTAATATTTATTTTTCAGTGGACACAACATCTTTGTATGTGGTGCTGAGAATCATACCCGGGCCGCACGCATGCCAGGCGAGCGCGCTACCGCTTGAGCCACATCCCCAGACCCATTGACTTGTGTTTATAGCTTGTTTTTGACAATAAACAATTTGTGTGTATATTATAATATAGGTTTTACAATATACTGATGTTTTGAAAAATTTTTTTAATATATATTTTTTAGTTGTATGTGGTCACAATATCTTTTATTTGTTTATTTTTCTGAGGTGCTGAGGATTGAACCCAGGGCCTCACACATGCAAGGCAAGTGCTCCACCACTGAGCCACAACCCCAGCCCTTGAAAGTTTTAATTGTGGACTTTTATGTAGAAAACCATTTATATGTGTTTATATAAGGCATATCTATATATGTGTTTGTATATATACATATTTATTGTTAGAAAAATGACAGAGATATATAGATCTTAAATGTTTGGTATATTGTGAACTGTTTTGTACTTTAGGGTTATCTGATGTTAATGATATTAATAATACTAATTTATCAGTGACTGTTTGGTGCTAAGCCTTTTTTTTCTTCCAGTGAATGTTATTTTTCTTTGTTCTTTTTCTCACTTTTCACACTTTTTATTGGTGCATTATAGTTGTACATAATGATGGGATTTGTTGTTACATATTTATACATAGTGCTAAGCCTTTAAAAAAATTTTTATGCATTAATTTTATTTATTTATTTTTATGTGGTGCTAAGGATCGAACCCAGAACCTCTCACATGCTAGACAAGTGCTCGACCACTGAGCCACAACACCAGCCCAGTGCTAAGCCTTTTTATAACATAGGATCTCATTTTAATTTTAATCCTCAGAGCAATATTCAGAGGATTTGTTATTATTATCCTACTTCCATTTTACAGGTGAGGAAATGGAACTTTCCCTGTGATCATGTAGGTAGCAAATGCTACAATCCTGCGCCCTTGCTCTTAAGTGTCCATAATGCTCTATAAACTATGTAATTCCTATAGAAACCTAGAAAATGAATTTCTAAAGAAGTTTTCAATTTAAAGAAATGGCAAAAGCTATGATGTATCATTTTGGGACTGATGTTGATTTTGGTTAAGTTGAATATTTTAGAAATAGTAAGCAATTGGAATGGAATAGAAACGAAGGCATTTATTTGGGATAATGCCTGTTTTCTTCTTCATTGTGTACCCATTGCCACACATGGTTCCTGGAATGGAGTAGGTTTGTTGTCTGTTGCTTAAAGTGTGGAAGTTGGGCACTTAAGATGATAAGTTATTTTGTAAATTTTCTTAGTTTATAGTCACTGTTTTAGTCAGTCCTTACATAATTGTCAGCACTTTAGAATGTCAGGAAAGTGGTCCTTTCTTTTAAAAACTATTATAAAAGCAGTGTTATCTGAGTTACAAAAGTCATTCTAGCAATACAGATATGTATAAAGTAGAAAATTTAAGTTATCTTATTTCCATCCTACTTTTAAGCTTTTCCTGGGCATTTGCATGTGTAATTCACACACATTTTAAGATTAAATGTAATTATATCATAATACTATCTTAAAAGTTTACTTTTTTCAGGTGACTGTTTGAAAAAAAACTTGCTTTGTGTGAGTGGGGTGATTGAAGAGAAGTGGGAGAGATTTGTACATTAAGGACATAAACCAAATGCCCTAGACTGATTGTTACCTATGGGGCAAAGAGCATTTTAAGTTCTTTTTATTTTGTCTCATACCTTTAGATGGGGTCATTGTTATTATTGAAACTTTAAAAAAATGCTAGCCAGTTCAAGGTGACAGCACTGTTTTCCATCCTGTAAAAGTAATTTAGGAGACATCATTTTAGAATTTAATTCTTCTAGTTTGTTCTGTTAGCTGCTTAAGAACAGTTATGTTTTCAGGTGACTTTTTTTTTTTTCCCCTAAAAGCTAGTGGTACCTTCTTTGTTGTTAAGAAGGATTGAGGATAGGAAAGGTAGCAGAATACAACAATTACTAATAAGCATTATGTAAAATTGTGGATGTGTAACCGACGTGATTCTGCAATCTGCATTTGGGGTAAAATTGGGAGTTCAGAACCCACTTCAATCTAATGTATGAAATATGATATGTCAAGAGCTTTGTAATGTTGTGAACAACCAATTAAAAAAAAAAGAGAGAGATATATCCCCAGAACAAGAAAAAAAAAATTAAAAAAAAAACCACACACACAAAAAACGGATTGATTCAGGGTTGGGAGTGTATCTCAGTGGTAGAGTGCTTACCTGGCATGTGTGAGGCACTGGGTTCAGTCCTTAGTACCACATAAAAATAAATAAATAAAATAAAGGTATTTTAAAAAGCATTCATTTATAATTTGCAAAAATTATTCATTCATAATTTTTTTAAATTCAATTTTTTTATGAATTTAAAAATTTAAATTTATAAATTTAAAACCAAGATAATATTAAATTATTTGATATTTTAAAAAATATCTTGTTTATTAATTTATTTTTATGTGGTGCAGAGGATCGAACCCAGTTCCTCACACATGCAAAGCAAGCACTCTACCACTGAGATACAGCACCAGTTCTAGATATTTTAAATAATAGAAACTCAAACCTGTGCAACTTAATCAGCATGAAGAAACCCTGCCTAGGAATTAGTCCTGGGGCTCACAGCTTCATGAGTAGTATTGGCTGACCTCACCTCCACTACAGATTCTACTCAAATACTACCAAATGCTATATTAATAACCCAGTATTTTTTAAGGAAGTTTAAGAAAAAAAGGTAAATTATTTGAGTACTATTCAATTTTAGACTGGCTTCAAGAGTTTTAAATTTGTTGCTAAGTTTATTAATCATGATTCACTTTTGTAATATTTAAATTGAAAACTTTTATTAAATAGTTTATAAGTTTTTCATTATAGTAGTTTTTTTGAAAGCCTTTCTAATCCTAGAATATACTTCTTACATTTAAAATGCTTTATGCTTCTTTGGACTGAACATTTAGTGAAGTGCTAATGAAGCCTTGCTTTAAAATTCTAAGAATTGGGCTAGGTGTGGTGACACACACCTGTAAACTTCGTATTTGAGGCTAGCTCCGCAATTTAGCAAGATCTGTCTCAAAATTTAAAAAAGGGCTAGGGTTTACAATAGTAGAGTGCAAGGACCTTAGCATGTGCATGGCCCTGGGTTCAATATCCAGAATCAGGGTTTGGGATGTGGAGGAGAAATTCTAAGAACTGGATCTGATAGGGTATAGCGGTAGTAAGTTATGGTACAGTCCATGTTTTAACAAAGCAAGTTAAGAATATTTCTCATTTGTAGTATTCATAAATGTGCTTTTCGTTTTGAGTGGCTCAGACCATGCCCTAGAGTATGTTTTTTCCTTTCTTATAATAGTCTTCTGAATGTACAAAAGACTCGGGTAATGTCATAGATGGTGAAACTGAGGCAGAGAAAAGAACTTAAATTAATGGTAGAGTCTAATTTCACTATAATTTTAATTCCAGTATTTTTCCCCCCTTTTGCTATTATGGGGGATTGGACCCAGGAGTGTTCTACCACTGAGCTATATTCCCAACCATTTTTTTGCGGAGGGGTACTGGGAATTGAACTCAGGGGCACTCAACCACTGAGCCACACACCCTCAGTCCTGTTTTGTATTTCTTTGGAGACAGGGTCTCATTGAGTTGCTTAGCACCTCGATTTTGCTGAGGCTGGCTTTGAACTTTCGATCCTTCAGCTTCAGCCTCCTGAGCAGCTGCGATTACAGGCATGCACCACTGTACCCTGCTCCAACCATTTTTTTAAAAAACATTTTTATTAGTTATTGATGGACCTTTATTTATTTGTTTGTTTGTATGTGGTGCTGAGAATCAAACCCAGTGCCTCACACATGCTAGGCAAGTATTCTATTATTGAGCCACAACCCCAGTCCCCCAACCATCTTTATTTTTCATTTTGTGACAGAATCTCACTAAATTGCCCCTGCTGGCCTTGTGATCCTCCTGAATAGCTGGGATCACAGGTGTGTACTACTGTGCCCAGTTAGTCTTGGTCATCTTGACCTGTAGTCTCCAATCTTTCTAAAATTAGGATGCTAATAAATGTGTAATGGTCTGAACTAGTATTTTATGTAAGTTATCAAACATAAAGGAAAATTGAAATTTTAAAAAGGATCAGAAAATTAAAATACAAGTTGTGATAATTTCCTGTGACTCCTTTCCTCAGGCTGCACACACCCACTTGGAGACTGGTGCTCTAGATAGGCCATTCCTCCTGCAGAAGAGCCAGCCATGGAGACAGCTGGAGGACAGTTGGTAAAAGGTGTGGGGCTTTTAAATTGCAGTGATCTTTTGTGGTTTTTTAATTTTAAAGAAACAGCCTTTATTTCTGTAAAAGACTGAAAGATTGAGAGTAAAGGCCTTGAGAGAGGTGAGCTTAAAAGACAGAAATAAGCCTTATTTGTTTTCTTCAGAGTTGAAAGGGAAAGGCTGCCTACCCTGTGAGCTCCCACTCCCATAGAGATGGCAGTGCCTTTTCTGTTGTTGTTAGGCAGTTTATAGAACGCAGGATAGCTTGGTAAGCGTCTTCTCTGTGCCTGATATGACGTAACATTGTAGAGTATGCAGCATGCATGTTAAGTACAAGTGGTTGTATTTGGCTTGTTGCTGCAGCATTTTTTGAGGATGTCTTAAAAAGCAATTATCACTTGATAGGGTTGGATATGTGCAGATTATTGAAATCATCATTTCATAGAGACCAAACTTTGTAACTTGAATTATTCTATTTAGTATTTGCTTATTTTGTCCCCACCCCCAGTACCTCAGAACAGAATTCCTTTTCTGAAAAGAACAGATGCTGTTAACTTATCAGGACTTGATACTAAAAAGCCTGCAAAAATCTTTGTGCTGTTTATTTTTTTAATTTAATCTATATGCAAAGCATATTGTAATTATTGCTGTTGGAGGTTTGTAAGTTGATGGTTCCTTCCCACTCTTTTTGTGCTCAGAGGAGATAGATTAGGTATGCCAAATTGACAACTTGGTATAAAGAAATAATGACCACTGAAATAAAACAGGAGTTCAAATAAAAAGCAAACCAGCTACAAATGTAGAATGAAAATATCTTTTAGTAAAATGTTAGCATGCTGTACTTGGAACAGATGCCACATTAATTCAAAAGAGAGCCCAGAAAATGTGGCAACTTTACGATGTCAATGGAGGGAGCTGCAATAGTTCTTGTTTTCATTGTGTAGAGTCCCCAGTACCTCCAGGTCCAGTCCTATTCTGTATATTTATTTCCTGTGTGTATTACATGTTAATATACAAATATCAAGTCCATGATTAATATTTTTATTTGGATAATATTTAATTATGTATATTTAACATTGTCTTACTAGTAGACTTTAGGGTAAGAAGCCCATTAACTTGTAATACAGCAGTAATAATTTTTGTTTGAAATACGCATGTGAAGATGTTTAGAATTTGAGGAAAAAATGTACTTTTCCCCACACTCTTCAAGGCACATTGATGATAAAAAGCTAGTCTAAGAATTGAGTCTTTCAAAGAGGCCTAGTGCTTTTTAAATGTAGGATTTGGACAAGTTACAAAATTATGAGAATTTTGCATTTATTTTTTTCTCATTTAAATTTGTAGTTATCATTGGACATTTGTTATGGTTTTTAAGTAGCTTAGACTCATTCATTCCTTTGTGTGTGTGTGTGTGTGTGTGTGTGTGTGTGTGTGTGTTTTATGATGCTTGGGAAGAAGACAGGGTGATGGAAGGATAGTATACCCAGTTGGATATTTCCAGAGTGACATTCATTTTATAGAAGATTGTATTGGGACATCTCTGGATTGCCTGTTTCCTACAGTGCATGGTTAGTGTGGGGTCTGAGCGTGGAGAGAGGCGGGCTGAGGGCTTTTAACCAGATTTACAGAGTGCTACTTCCTGAGCAGGGCAATGATCTAATCGCTGGGGATGTATTCTCTGTGCCTGTAAAGAAGTCTGGTGTGCATACTTAGAAAAGCACTCCTAGTTTTCTCATAATTAATCCAAGTGTACAATTTAGTAATTTGGTGAAAGGTTAAAAGTTTTGTTTTTGTGTAATTCACATGAAGGAAGTTTTTTTTCATGGCAGTAGTATAAAATGCTTGAGTCTTGGTGCAGGAGCCAGTCTTAATGGATTCAAATCCTGGCTTTGCCTTGTGTTTACTCTGTGACTGTAGCTTTTGTCCCTTCACCTTCTGTGTCTCTTGTTGTCTTCGTATGTAAAATGTGAATAAATAAAAGTTCCTGCCTACTGTGGTTGTTCTAAGGAATAAATGGATTAATGTATAAACTAGTAGAAATAAGTACTGATTAAACGGAACTGATCTTTAGTTCTCTGCTCTTTTCTTCCCTTTTCAGGGATTAAGACAAATGTTCCACATTGGGAAAGGAATCTCAGCTTTGTGATCTGACCCTCAAGTTGGAATTTCAGTCCATCCACTTTAATGTATGCACGTTAGAGTATTTAAGCTTCCTTCAATAAAGATGTGTCACGTGTATAACTGCATACCAGCCCCTGTGCTGGTCACTTGAACTTCAGTTCCTTTATCTGTGACACAGGGACACAGGGATGATAATACTAACCTCCCTATAGTTTATGTGAACATAAAGTGAGGAACTCTTAGCTGGGTGTGGTGGCTCACACCTGTAATCCCAGAGACCTGGGAGGTTGAGACAGGAGGATGGCAAGTTCAGTTTCAGTCTCTCAACAACTTAGTGAGACCTTATCTCAATAAAAAAAAAAAATAGTTTAATAGTAAAGTGCCTCTAGGTCAATCCTAGTACAAAAAAAAAAAAAAAAAAGGAACTCTTCAGACAATAAATAAGATCTGCTATTTATTATTGTTATAGTCCCATTAAAAGTTTATGGGAAAAGAATAAATATGGAACAATTTAGCTGGAAAGTAGAGTTTTTTTTCCCCTCTTCCTGAAATGCCATGATAAGAAAATGGCATGCTGATAAAAGTGTATCTAAGGAGTTCTTATTTTTGAATACCTCTAGGAGAAACAGAAAATATATGGGAATATGTTAGTATTAACAGAGCCTTTCAAAAATATTTCAGGGTGCTTTATTAAAACTTATAAGCTTTTCTTTCTTTATATTCCTTCCCCTCAGCAACTGATGAGACCACTGACAAGATACTCTGTAGTTTATCATAGAACACTTAGCACCACTTAGCATCAAGTCAATAATAGACTAGATGTTAGAACTCAAAAGTCCAAAATATTAATCAGCTGGTCAGTCCACTGGGTCTGACACATTGTGTATGTTAACCTTAACTTGTTATGGGTGCAGTAACTAAAAGGAAGAGCTGTATTACCTGAGAGTTTGAAAGGGATACACATGCTTTCTAGTACTTATGGGCAGAGTTTGCTTTTTTGGGCATATTGTCTTTATGAAATCTCCTTTCACTGTTTTTTTCTTACAGTGATCGTTATTTTTTTATTTTATTTAATTGTCATAATACACACACACACACACAAACACAAACATTCTTTTGGTACTGGGGATTGAACTCGGGCACTTTGCCACTGAGCTACATGAGCTACATCCCCATCCCTTTGTTATTTTTATTTTTAATACAAGGTCTCACTATATTGCTGAGGCTGGCTTCAAACTTGCAATTCTCCTGATTCTTCCTCGCAAGTCACTGGGATTACAGATGTGCATCACCATGCCCAGCTCATGTGGAACCTAGAAATTGGGCCTGAGAACAAGATGATTATGAGAAAAGCCACAGTGAATTCTTTTCAGAATTGAGGGTTATTATTTTTGGTTAGAGAATTGAGTTTTTAATATATCCATTAGAATGTGTGCCTCCCTCCACCCCTTGAAAGTAAAACCAGTAATTGACAGAAGGGAAAAGATTAAGTGTAAATATAATTTTTTCATTTACTACTGATTTGGATTGGAAATTTTTTTGATGCATGATCTGTTTTTTTTTTCTGTAGGAGTCAATAAGTATATAGTATTTGTAATAGCTTATCAGAATATCCTGAATATGGTATATGTTACCACTTGCAGGCATTTGATTAGAAGTCTATTTCATGTAAATAAATATAGGTATTTGAAATAAGCTACAGCCAGGCATGGTGGCACATGCCTGTACGGGAGACTGAGTAGTACAAGTAACTAATATCTTCCATTATCTTTTTTTTCCTCATTTACCCAGCTATACCATTTGGTAAAGGCCTAGTAGGCGAATAACTTGATTTACTGTATTTTATTCTGTCTGTGTTCCTAACATTGTTTCAGCTTTGTGAATAGAAATTCCAACACTTTTTTTGATAATGCTATACTTCAGCTCACCAAGCATTTTAAAAATTAATTTTAGAGTAGACTGTATAGTTTTCTTTTTTTAAAAAAAATATTTTAGTTGTAGTTGGATACAATATACCTTTATTTTTCTTTATTTTTATGTGGTGCTGAGGATTGAACCCAGGACCTCACACATGCTAGGTGAGTGCTCTACTGCTGAGCTACAACCCCAGCCCCTGTATAGTTTTCTTTCAGTTAAAAAACTTAAGTAAATGACTTAAGTAAAGTTTTGTAGTTCTAAAATTAGCATAACATGAATAATATTAAAGATTGTGTGTGTTCATGCATGTGCGTGTAGTACTAGAGATTGATCTCGGGCCTTATGCATGCTAGGCAAGTGCTCTACTACTGAACTATACCCCCAGCCCTGTACAACATTAAATTATCTTTAGCTACATGCAGGATCTATAAAAGTTGCTTCACTTGGTTGCATGAAATTTTGGAACTTTTAGAAGTCTATTTCATGTAAATAAATAAAGGTATTTGAAATAAATTACATCCAGGCATGGTGGCACATGCCTGTACGGGAGACTGAGGCAGGAGTAGTACAAGTTCCAGGCCAGCTTGGGAAATGTAGTGATGTAGCTCAGTGATAGATCATCCCTGGGTTTAGTCCCCAGTAATTCACATAGACCACAGGCACACACACACACACACATATACACCAAAACAAAACAAAGGAAAATAGAGTCTACCAGTATCTTTGGGGTTGATTTAAAGAATGACACAGTTTTGAAAACCAGTTTGTCCCTGCTGAGCTTGTAAAGGGCAGTGCCGCTTATGCTGGGTGTGCTCCTGCTCTGAGTGCGCAGGTTCTGTCCAGTTGGCAGCCCCTCTGCTACTTATAGGAAGGTGCTGCCATTGGCTGCCTCAGCTCCCTCCGTTGCCTTTCTGCTTCCCTCTTCTCCATGCACTCTTGGCTATTCCTCCTGCCTGTACTCTGTCTTGTCTACTG